CGTTTTACGTGAAGTGGCGTAATATTCCATGTGAAAAACGCGATATGCAGTAGTCGTGAAATATATTTTTCATATCACGGCCGCCCGTGAAACTCCATTGTATGATTTCATATACGTTTACTTTTATATAGAAATTTTGGAGTTTGAAAATTTATATTTTCGTAGATACTTGACCAAGAAGTTGCATATTTCGTATCCCAACGGCTCTCCTACTCCGATTCAAGCACAAGTGTGGCCAGTAGCTTTACAGGGTAGAGATATAGTTGCGATAGCAGAAACAGGCAGGTGAGATAAGAGGAGGAGAAGGAAGAAGAGTGGTAATTGTTGTTGTGGTGTTATAGGAAATTTTTTTCGTAATTTGAGGAAATTTTTGTGGGGAAAAATTCCGGTGATTTATGCACAAATTCATGTTTTTTTGTGTTTTTTTGTAGGGGGAGTTGTAATTTTTTGTGTAGTTTGTGATTTTTGTGGTGAAAAAGTTGTGCGGAATTGAAAAATTTCGAAGAATAAAAGGAAAATTTGGTGTTTTTTTTCTACGCGCATGAAGATATGTGATGAAGTATTTATGTAAACTTTTTGTTTTTTTTCTGTAATTTTTCGCGGGTGGGATAAAGAGGTGGAGCTGTAATTATGATGGTAGGGAATTGATGTGTTAGAGAAGAAATTTTTGGGAAAAAAGGAAAATTTGATGATTTTGTGTTTTTTTATCTTTTTTTCTTTTCGACATTTGTTAAGTGTTATCATATTATTGTTAATTTTTTCTTCTGATTTTACGATTCTTTAATTTGAATAGTATCTCCCATTGGGACAGCTGCAGTGGAGTCCCGATGTTGTTGTTGTTTTTCCCAGTGGAAAAACGTTGGCTTATCTCCTTCCTGCAATCGTCCATTTGAATAATCAACCACCCGTGACGATCCCAGGCGAGCCGATAGTGTTGGTGTTGGCGCCTACAGAGAGTTGGCGAGTCAAATCGCGGAAGAGGTAGTAGTAGTAGTAGTAG